GTGGGGTGAGGGACTCATTGGGAAGTAGGGAAGGAAGAGGTGGAGTAGCTAGCTTACCGGTGCCCCAGTCAGATCTATGGGACCCGCGGTTTGATGGGAAGCACACGTCACATGTCATGACTAAAAGATGAGCAGCCGGTGTACCAGGTGCTGAAGAATTCCTGAACCCTCCGGGGAATGCAAGATCATCCAGCCTATACTGTTGGCCACAAAACAGCCTCCCAGCAATAACTGGGCTAGTGTTTCTCTGCTACTGTGTTCATAGTGTTAAGAAAAAGGGATGATGACTTCCTTCCCAACTTTCACCAGTCCTTTTATTACAATTCAGAAGGAGCTGTGCCAATACATAAGACATAGATAACTGTCTCCGCAATTATCCCAGGAAATGCCTTGATTCCAGCCAAAATTATACCTGGGACAGAATCCTCTGCAGACATTTTATTCCCCTATTATGGCATTCATCTACCTTAGTTGCTAAGATGAAATATGACATTTAATAGTTATGGTGAATAAGCCATCTATTATATTCCTGCTATTGCTTAAGCATCTAAATGAAGAACTGGTTGATTTATTCATAAATTGCATATAGAATTTACATTATATATTTTTAGCCATTCCTTGAGGTTTCACTTCTCTTTAATTCCTATAAAACTGCTTTCTTATAGGAAACCAAAAATTTTAAGTTAGTGCTAATCATTTTTCTTCCTTTCCAGAAATTGCCTGCAAAAGCTGTTTATGATTTTAAGGCTCAGACATCTAAGTAAGTAAGATAAGTTCATCATATGATGTAAGTTGGCTATATACACTTTAATAATACTTTAAGAGATAAATATTGCAATGGGACATGTTCAAATAATTCAGCAATCCACTCTAAATGGTTCCTTCTGAATTAACTGGAATGTGGGTAATTTTATTTTCATTTTGAGTTTAGTTGAGAATCATTGAGTTTTAAACTATACTAAACATATTACAGCACAATGAATTCAAATGGGTAGGTAAAACAAAAAAAGAAATTAAGCATCTTTGTTTCTGGAATTTTCGTGTCAAGATGAAGTAAAAATAAAGAGTTGGGGAGTAATTAACACTTCCTGGGAGAATTTGATAACATTTATTTATCCAACTAAATCAAGGACAGTTTGCAGGGTTGAAGACTAGAACTGTGCACAGATTCCCACTGTAAAATCTCCATGTGTCAACACTCAAAGCTTAGCGATTCCAGTTTGGCTTAGAGCGTTGGCTGCAGACTAAAGGGTCCTGGGTTCAATTCCGGTCAAGGGCACATGCCCAGGTTTTAGGATCAATCCCCAGTAGGGGACATGCAGGAGGCAGCCAATCAATGATTCTCTCTCATCATTGATGTTTCTATTTCTCTCTCTCTCCCTCCCTCTCTGAAATCAATAAAAATATGTTGTTGTTGTTGTTGTTGTTGTTGTTTTAAAAAAAAAAAGCTCAGCGAGTCTGAGCAACGTTCTCTCTGTGGCCTTTGATAGTGGTGTTGTCATACTCCTGTGTTGCAATACTTTCCCTTTTTTCTTTAGGCTCTTGTTCATCAGATGGGCATGTGGTTGAGGAAAGTCAGTACAGGTACTAGGTACATGAGTTGGCTCAAATGGGAGGGAGTCTGCCACCTTGCAGTGGCCCATGTGCCCAGACCTTGTTTAAGAAACTTCAGTCTCTATTAGAATTCAAGATACTAAATTCATTGTAAATTGGCATAAAATTACACTGTGTGGTTTAGACTGAATATATACAATAACCCAAATATGTATTCATGAAAATGCATATTATATACATTCATGGTTCCAGAGTCTGTCTCTAGTAGTAGAAGACAGAGAGAAAAGAAAATCATTCAGAATTGGCTGAGGCTGCTGAGATAGGGAATGAACCAAATAAGAAAAATGCTATTTAGAAATGAAGATGTTGAACATGGCTTAAATCTGGTGTTAATAAAAAAATTCCTAAAAGCTTACATTTTTAAAATTATTAGAGAAGTAACATCTGCTTTGTGTCTACTATGGTCCTCACTACTACTACTTTTTGAATATAGTGTGACAATTAGAGGATGCATGTTGGTTTTGTAAAATAACGATACAGAGCACGTGAATTTCATTTCTTCTTTGTGGCAGTCCAAGGTTAGCAAAGGCTCGGGGAAGCCTGCTCTTCCACCGCCACCCGTGGGAGCATCAACAACAGACCTGAGGGTTGCCCGCACCACCCTCCCATAAAGCTCTTTCTAAACCAACTAAGCCTAACGGTGTACGTCTCAGAGAAGCAGGTTAAATAGTCACCATGGAAGCCATCCCATAATTTTAGGAAGAGAAAACTGTTCCCCTCCCACCATAAATAAATATATCCTATTGTAGCTTCATCACATTCCTCTTGCTCTGCTCTGCTCTCGTATACGTAGAGCTGTTGCTCATCATCCCTGTGCAATGACCTATTTGCAACAAAAGTCAAGGTTTCGTTCAACTCGGGCAACTTTCGGAGGCTCCCACGCCCAGCCAGCACTGAAAGATACGGAAGGGCTAGCCTCATTTTTAAGTCATTTCCATTAATGCCCAGACAGGAGCGCTTTTCGTGCCTAACATCTAACAGGCAAGAGATGGATACCTGTTTTAAATAAATATCTATTTTAAAAGCTATTTTTATTTACCTAATACATGAAATCTATTTAATTTTAAAAAATACAGCTTTGTAATTTCTCCAATGTAATGTCTCCATTGTTAAACAGGAAACGAGGTGAAATCACATTTCCAAAGGTACAATGTTGTAGCAAATCCTAAGAATTTGTAAGGCAAATCCTTATCCAACTGGGCTCAACAGATTTGTTTATAACGGCCACACATCCAAAACGGAAGCCATCCCCACACGCCACAATATTTTTAATTTAATTTTAAAAAATAAATTTGCAATGAATATTATTATAATAGATATATTACTCACAATTCGGGTGTTCTGGAATATTTTCAGCTGAAAATCCTCACACACAAAAAAAATCTTAAAGTTGGTCTATGTAAATGCTTATGGCGTACAATGGTTTAAGTATCAGAAGTATATTTCCCGGCCGAATGCAGGTCTAGTGACCTTAAGAATAATTGCTCTTCATCAAGAAAAACCCATTTGAGCATGTCTCTCCCAGGGAGCTGTCGTTTAAGAAAGGAGACACTGTCTACATCCTCAGGAAAATCGACCAGAACTGGTACGAGGGAGAGCACCACGGGCGAGTGGGCATCTTCCCCATCTCCTATGTGGAGGTAAGTCCTCTCCCTGCCCTCTCACGTGGGTGCTCATCCCAAGGTCCTCACGGGTCAGGAATAAACAACTGTTTTCCTCCTAGAAACTCTCACCTCCTGAGAAAGCACAGCCGGCGAGGCCGCCGCCCCCAGCCCAGCCTGGAGAAATCGGAGAAGCTATCGCCAAATACAACTTCAACGCGGACACCAACGTGGAGCTGTCGCTGAGAAAGGTACCCGGGCGGCCTTCTGACCTGGTGCCTTTCAGAGGCTGTCTTCCTCCTTAGACATGTCTGTGTTTTTCCGTAAAGAAAGGACAGGGCACGCCCTGGGGCTGCCCTGGGCCACTGTTTCCTGCCCCTCCTGGTGTCCAGATGAGGTCCCTGTGGGACTCGAAGCTTCTCAGAGGGGCTTCCCTTCCCAGGGGTGCCTCGGCCTGAGCACCGTGGGGTTGAACTTGTGGAAAGGCATCAAAAGGAAAAGCACTTCAACAGACGGCAAAAGATTGTTCTTCTGCTGCCTTCTCATTCCGTTTCTTTTTAAATTTTAATTAATATGTTTATCTTGGAGTCAGGAAGCTGTTTCCTCCTGGGGAACATTTTTCCTTCTCTAGGCCTCATGCCTGACCCCCTGCTTCACTGGAAGCCTAGCCAATCCTAGTGCCTCTTCCTAGCTACCTCGCTGCTTCACAGCTGAGAATGGTTCCATCATGGTTTTCCGTGTTTGCTAAGCAATCGTGTCCGTTTGCTTGAGGCACCTGTATGTTTGCCCACCACATAGACTAGACCATGGTCACAGGTGGGCGGGCCAAGAGCGCCTCCTGCCTGCGGTGAATGCAGGGAAGGGCCCCTGTCCTCCTCCTGGCTCCAGAGCCTTGCCTCCTCCTCCCCTGTGAGACCTGGGTCTGCACCATCGACAGATTCTCTCCTACCCTCCAAGCTGCCGCACAGCTTCTGTATCAGCTTGTTTCATACCTTCCATCGAAGCTTCCGCCAGTGCAAGTATAGCTCGAGCAATAGCCTAGCTTCAGCCTCATGCTGGTGTGTTACAGAGAAAAGCAGTGCAATTTTCAGATGCAGGGAGAGCCACTTAGCTTTGGTACGTCCTGCTCCGCGGCAGGGGGACAGTTTGTATAAACCACCCAGCATTTGGGAAAAGCAAGCTTTCGCTTCGAGTAACCCTGACAACGGCCTCCCTACGGTGCTGAAGCTCTGACCTCGTGTCAGTCGCCTCTCTGCAGCTGTGACCTGCTGGATGCAGCTGCGCGGAGTTTTAGTGTCTAATCCAGTGGTTCTCAACCTTGGCTGCGCATTAGAATCACCTGGGAATCTTTTTAAAAGCCTGATTTCTGGGCCTCATCCTCCGGAAATTCTGTTTCTTTGTTACTCATGTTGTGGCCCCTCCCCATAACCAAGAAACAGAATTTCCGGAGGATGAGGCCCAGAAATCAGGATTTTAAAAAGATCCCCAGGTGATTCTAATGTGCAGCCAAGGTTGAGAACCCCTGCACTGGTCTAACCACATCTTGCCTGTTTATTTCTGGGCCACGTGTGGTTTCAAGTTAAAATTTAAACTGTTTCGTGGCATTGGCTTGATCACTGCAGGTGGCAGGCATAGTGACTGTAAAAAGTTCTATTATTCCAAAAGCCAGGGGCTCTATAAACAGACGTAATGGCCACCGTGGCATGGCGATCCATCACTCGGAATGGACGCCGGTGTGAGGCCGTCTGGATGCAGACCAGGTGGGTGTCGGTCCTGGCCACAGACGCGGATTACCATGAGGGCTGTCTTGGCCCCACCCCATTGGCTTCACCCTTTGTTACTAGTTAGCATGTGTAGGGTAAAAAGAAAAACGGTGTGCCGTTCACCTTCATCCCTTCCGGAGGCTGGTTCCTGCAGCCACCTCAGGCACGCCATCACAGAGCCGAGTGACCCTGTCAGAAGCTCTTCCTTCCTGTGGAAGCTCGTTCTGTGGACGGTCCGTGACAGGAGGCTGCTGTCTAGGAGACATTGCCTATTAAACCGTTCTGCTTTTTGACATTACACAAGTCATTTTACACGGAACCAGTATGAGCATGTATGAGCCCATTCACATTCCACGCACCC